CAATCTACAGTAATTAGAGTCATTAAGAATTATGCTGAATAAGGAAAAATCGACGACAGACCGCGTAATGGCCGACCAAAGAAAACTTCTGTTCGGGATGACGCTGCGTGAAGAAGAACAAGTCTGGCAGACAGAAGCTTTAATTCCATTAGATAATGTAAGGCACGGAAGCAACCACTGCTTGCAGAAAGCAAAAATTGCAACGTTTGAAATGGGCCAAGGAACATCGAATCTGGACAGCAGAGCAGTGGCAGAGTATACTGTTTAGTAATGAATCCACTTTCAATATCAATAATCATGCTGGAAATGCCTATGTCAGAAGATTTCCTGGTAAAGAATTTTCTCCAAAATGTGTTCTTCCCACAACTAAACATCCAACCACCGTTATGATATGGGGTTTCATATCCGCTCGAGGAGTTGGTCGCCTACGTTTTGTGTCTCTGATGATAAATGCTACCAAATACATTGAGGTACTACAGAATAAGATGCTGCTTAGTGGAAAAGACCTGTTTGACGAAGAAAAATTATTTTCCTATATTTATTCCTTGCCATAGAGCAAAATTTAATAAAGCTTGGATGGAGAGTAATGAATTTGATAGGATGAACTGGCCAGCGAAATCCTCGGATCTCAATCCCATCGAGAATTTGTGGCAAAGGATATCAAACATCATTACCAAAAGCAAACCCACAAATAAAACGAAATTAATCGAATCTCTAATCCATGCTTGGCATCACTGTATTTCCATAGAGAAATTAATAAATTCCATGCCCAGAAGATGTGAACTAGTTATTAAAAACAAGGGCTGGCCAATTAATGATTAAAATTAGTTTTAATTACTTGTGATGTACTATATCGCCTTGATGTATTAGCCTAATTTTTGTAATTTGATAAAAAAATTTTGAACTCACATTTTTTTTATTAATCAAAATTGTTGCTGTGTTTCCATTTTATAATATTGTGTTAAGTAGCTTGTTTGATGTAGATAGTAAATGGTTAAAAGATATTTAAGGTAATGCCTTAAACTTCTATTTTCATGTATTTGGTAAGGTGATGCAGGACTTTTTAACACCACTGTAGTTTCTGATTAGACATTCAAACGTATATACCTATGTTTAATAAAGTTTTTAGCATCTGAAAGCTTTCGTTGTATGATTCATTCATTGTCCGAATTGATTCAGTTGCAAAATCACATTCACAGCCGCAGATCGACTTTTTGTACTGCAGTAGTTTTTGTACTGCAGTGTTTGAAATTTTTTTTTGGCTGTCGTGTGGTCGAAGCTGTGGATCTAGTAAACATAATAATTGGAAATAAGTCTGCTAGGCCGTTGGAACGTATTTTGCATTATACGCATAATAGTTAGAGTGCCCGTCGGCAAAAAAGTTTATAAATTGATATAAGATTAAATGCTCGAACATATGAACTTTGATCTTCTTTTCTCTCCTGATTCTATCTCTCTCCTGATGCCGACCATAATGTAGCTTCGCCTATTAAAAAAAAGTTAAACTGTTTGTCCTTGTGTAGTATAGTGTAATGTACAATTTTATGTTCATGACATTCTATTATTTTTGGATATGCCAAAATTGACTAAATGCCTCTGAAGATGCTCTAGGAAGCGAAGGTACTTGGGCAAGATTTAATTAATAAAACTCTACTCGATATCTGCCTTTCATTTGATCAAAGTTAAAAAAGTTTATGATAGATACTGGCTCCAAACTTTGGATATAGCTTCATTAGGCCGAGTCTGACACGATTTTTGTATATATATTTTGACACAATGATTTGTATATATTTTGGAAAATTATAAGGAAAACATGAGAATAAAATTGTCTGAGAATAATAGGTCATTCAACGCTTCTGATGACTCGAATATATCGGAAAAAGTACTGTGACGAAATCTATTTAACTTGGGCGCAGTAATAGGTTTTTCAGTCGGCCATGAAAGCTTTAAGTCAGTTGTTAATGACAGCTGTGATTTACCTTTAACTTTTGGTTTTAAATCGACTTCCATAAACTGTTCATCATCAATATGTGAGAATTTAAAATAAACAAAATGAACTTTCCTTCTCGATTTTAATTTTTCGAACCAACAACCAGTTTACTTTTTGTTCTATAATTATCGGTTTTTCTGTTCACAATCATTTTTTCTAGAGTACTTGAACTTAAGAAGTCGCTGGTAGTCATGGCGTTAACAGTTATTGCATTTTTTTTCTGCAGCTTCTTTCTATATTGCTAAAATTAGCGTCATTGGGCAGAAAACTGTGGCACGATTCCAAAAAATTATTGTTATTTTATTTAATGTAAGGTGATTATGTAAGGCATGCTTTAGCAATAAACATATTTTAATGTTGCGGTTTTGGCCGCCACATGAATTGCACCAAAAAGGAATTTTTTGATCTCGGGGCCTAGGTGGAGATCTATAAACTGTTTTAAACAAGATTCAACCTCCTGCGTCCGTCGACACCTTTTGGCCAAATAAAACAGTGGACTTTGTTGGTGGTGGCTGTATGTATCTCGAGGTTGTACAACCAAATCTGTCGCTTGTAGAAAATAATGTTGTTGGAAGTTTTGGCATTGGTAATTTTTTCTCAGGATCAAATGTTATAGTTTTCACAAGTTGATTAGATTTTTCTTTATTAAAATCTTCTTTCATTTGTTCTCTAGCTTGTTCGGCTGCTTCCAAGTGTTCATAATGTCGTTGGTTAAAATTTTCTCTATCACTAACGATATTTGAAGCCGCTGATTTTGCAGAAAAGGTATCATATTTATTACATGTATTATTTTTAAAGTTTTACGTGTAATGTTAAACTCGGTGTAGAAAATATGCCTATAATATGAGAAGCTTACAGGACTATTGTTTTCTGATTTATAAAGGTTATACATTTTTTCAAGTGTCATGTCAGTAGGTAAATATTCTCTCTGTTTGAGTTCGTCGGTAATGAGATTTGTACCTTTAAATTTTGTTAATATGTGCCATAACCTCTTCTTTTTCATTTCAGACAACCTTTTATGATGTTGATGCTTACCGCGGATATCTTTTAAGTCTAATACTCTTGATTTTTTAAGTGCTGTATTTACGCGTTTAGTGGATATTCCTAGGGTTTTTACGAACATATCGCGGCACACCGTAAACTTATTCATCATGTATGGTCTTGAATGTAATCTTAGATGACTACCCTGAATATGGTTTCTTCGTCTTTTAACTGCATTTTCTTGAACCAAGGCGGTAATAGGTCATGTTTGAAGATCATAACTACCAACATTCAGTATTTCTCAAATATTTCTCTGCGGATGTCACTTTTAATTTTTGTGTAACATTTTTCTTTACAGTTACATTGATAGTCAATAAACTATTTAGAATCTACGTGTAACCCTCTTTTAGAAATATATGGTTTATTGGTATTTGTTAAAGTTCTCCGAATTGCTTCTGTTTGTCCAATGTACTTCCGTTTTCGTCCTTTTCTTGGTCTTCCTTTTCAATGCTCTTATTGGTTTACTTATTAAGGATCATTTTCGTTGTTAGAATCGTGTCCCGTATTTCGGTACTTTCTGGATATGAGGTTTCATTATTTTGAAAATCAGGATCTGCAATATTGTCGTCCAAGTCACTCTCCTCAGATAAATCGGTGTTCAGGCCTTTCATAGTTGTATTATGAGCCTCAGCTGTACTATTGTCCTCACCTGCACTATTTTGCTTACGATTTGGATAACTATCTTTGTCGTTACCTAAGCTATGATTATCCTGAAACAAAGTTTTAATAGGTAAGTGGCGTATTTATACGGTAACCAGTATTTTTTAAATAAGATAATTATCCTAAGATGATTAGGAATATTATCGTGCAAATCCTACTTCAAAAAACATCTTAGCAAAATACGAAAACATCTTTGGATTCCATAAATATCATATTTCTAAACAAAGAGCCAATAAGAAGAGAATCCATATTATTCGTACTAGACATTTTAGAACATGAAACCAAGCAACAATAAAACGTACCAAACTCCCACATTTCACTTAACTTCATTATTCAAAAAGGAACCACGTAACATATTTGAGGTTATAAAATCCATATAAAAATGTAATAATGGACCGCAGGAGTGTGACGTCACATTGTCATTATTACTTTCCAAACAAACGTTGAAATGTCAAATATCAAGACATTTTAATTCCTATAAAGTTAACATTTTGCTTCCACTGCTGCTTTTTCTTGTAAGTATAGTGTTTTTACGATAATACCGTCATAAGTCAGAGTTCTATTTCTATGAAATATGGTTTAAAAGTTTAATTAAAGAAATTTTAAACTTACTTTATTGATACTTTCATTTTATTCCTATTAGCATAAAACAATGTGCTTTATTATTTACACAACCTTGTAAAATTGTTGTAGTAACTATTAGAATACTTAAATATTGCAAAAAGCGGAAAGATTCTATAAAATAAATGAAAAAATAACGAAAAATACAAATTATCCACACTAAACAAGGTTTGTTTGGAAAGTGAAACTGGCAGATGTCAATCAAATCTACGTCATCACTCCTGTGGTCGATTTGTAAACTAACCTGTTTATTATGTGCATTGTATGGTCCTAACAATACTTCAGAGGCTTTTAAAAGATTTAATATTTGTTTTCCAAGCGACATTCTTATAAACTTAAAAATTATTTCGAAATCATTACAGCGTTGTCTAAAAACTGTGGATCTTTATTCTAAAACTTCTATTGCGCGAAACTGTACAAGAACATAGACCTTTCGTCAAATTTATATTCTGGAGCTGGGTGCGGGGATATTGTGTAAATATATTTAACGGCAGAAACTAATATTCTAAAATTTGGCGGTTGGTTCCCTGTTCTATTTCTACATCCATTTACAGCCGATTACTGCACACATAAGATGGGATTTGCTTAATGACACAAACAAAAAAGTTTAAAGAATATTGTTCAATAGTTTCCAGTTTCACTTAATATATTTATTTTCGAGTTTGACATACAAATGTATTTTTTACAGGAGAATTCGACATGCGAGTTAAATCCTGCGTAGCTTCTGACGGAACCGGCCACGTGATTCAATTATCGGACGAATTTGGTTGCGTTCTGAGGCCGAAAATGATCAGCAGGTTCCTGAAGGCTCGGGGTGCCGACGAAAGAGCATCGGTTATTACATATGCATTCTTCCATGCCTTCAAGTTCCCTGACGCTCTTAGTGTTCACATTAAATGCAAGGTGGAGATATGTAGGCATGGATGCCTGGATCATTGCCAGCTACAGCCCGAGGGTGCTGGTGATATTAATGCAGATTTATCGCATTATGTTAATCATTTGGAAAGGAAGGACGATGGACTGTCATCGGAGGAAAAGTAAGCTTTGTTTTTCTATTTAGTTACACTTTTAAATACTGGTAAATTTTTTATGCAACAAATCTTTTGCGTTTTGCCACATAGATAAGTTTTATTTATTTTTTTTTCAAAACAAATAGTTTAATTCATGCAGCATTGTAGATTTTATTAAATATCGTGTTTGAAATTTGCCACAAAAATATAAAATAAACTTCTTGTTTGAATATTTTGCTCATACACTAAGAAGCTGTTTTAATAACTAAAAATGTTTAAAATAAAACATGAATTACTGAGAAAAATGAAATACACACATGGACACAGCCCAGTAATATTGGATATTGATATTGCATATATATCCAGGGACTATATTATTATCATTTGCAATACATTATCATCAATGGCGCTACAACTCTTCGTGAGTCTTTGCCGCGTTTACTATTATTGCCTTCCATGTTTGTCGGTCCTGTGCCAGTAATTCCCATTGTCGCACTCCCATCTTCTCTAGATCTTCTCTGACTGCATCTTTCCACCTTTTTCTAGGCCGCCCTACAGACCTTCTTTCCATCTGGCCTTTTACAGAACACATTGTTTATAAGTCAATTGTCGTTATTGCGTATCACATGTCCTGGCCATCTGAGTCTATTAGCCTTTATATATCTGACTAGATTTTCTTTTTCGAATAGAGACTCTAGCTCATTATTGTATCTGCCCCTCTATTCGTTTGTCACGCTGTCTCTGCAAGGGCCATATATCATTCGAAGAATTTTAAGTTCCCATACCAGCAATTTATTTACTTCTCTTTTTGTTATCGTCCATGTTTCGCTTCCATACGCGACTGTTGGTCGTATTATGGTCTTATATATCCGGATCTTTGCACCTCGTGAAAGAAGTTTCGACTTCATCAGATGTTGCATTGCAAAGAAAGATCTATTTCCTGCCATTATTCTCGTTTCAACTTCTAGCTCTAATTTCATTTGCAATACACGTTACATAAATAACATTACTTTTTTAGTTATGTTAGTTATGAGCCAGCAACTTTCTGAGTTTTTCTTATGTACGTTCGTACCATTTTCTGAAACAAAAATAATCTGATATAACCTAGGCTTTGAAAAAGTAAAGGATGGAAAAAATTGGGTTCTGAGATCTTAAGGGGTAACTGGACCAGGCCCTTGCCCATTATCATCAGCCTCTCTTAATCCACTACTGGACATAGACCTCCGCTGTTTATCTCCAAAGTGTTCTATCTTGTGCTTGCTCTATCCAGTTTTTTGTTGTCTTTCGTAAGTCGTCTTGCCATCGTGTTGGCGGTCTTCCTTTGCTATGTTTATTGGCTCTTGATCTCCATTCAACTAGTTTGCGAGTCCATCTTCCGTCCTTTATTCTGGCAACGTGTCCAGCCCATTTCCATTTTAAGTTACAGCTTCTTTCAATGACGTCTGTGACTTTGGTCTTAGCTCGTAGATCTTCGTTTCTAATCCTGTCTCGCAGAGTGGCCCCTATCATTGATCGCTCTATTCTTCTCTGCGCTACTCTTAGTTTTTGTGCGTTTTTCTTTGTGAGCGATAATGTTTCTGCACCATAGGCCATCACCGGTAGCACGCATTGGTCAAAAACTTTTTTCTTCATATTAGTTGGGATGTCACTCTTAAAAACGTTCCTAAGAGCTCCGTATGCTGCCCATCCTTGTATTATTCTTCTGTATACTTCGGTTTTATTTTTCTCGATTTTACATATCATAACAATATATATATATATATATATATATATATATATATATATTATATATATATATATATATTTACATCCTACTATCCTTAAGGCCTCAAACCATAGCGCAACCTTACGGCCTCTCCTATTTCCAGGTGTATATAATATTTTAGTCGTCGTGTATATCGAAACAGGTAACAAAACATTCTTAATGCCCTAGTTTCTATTTGGATAAAACAAAATTTAACATATACTCTCCCCCTCGGTTCTCCTATCATTACCACCTCGTGCCGATTTCCGATTTTACAGCCTCATCATTATAATTTTTATCCGTATTATGGTCTTGGGGCCTCATATACACGACCTTATAGACTCATACGGTGTTGTCAATTCGCTCACTGCGTATTTCGATAATTCGGGGATTCCCCTCTTTATTTCCTATTTAACCCAAGAAAGTTATTTCTCATTTCGCGATTGTTTAAGTAATGGATACCTCAAAATAGATTTATGATCTTAAAAACGGCAAAAGTATAATATTTAAGTAACCTATATTTTAAACAGAAGCTTATAAATGACAAAATATTGTTATGATTTCTAAAAATTTGAACCTGATATTTATTGAAAGAAATATAATAATTTTGGTTATTTAAGTCAATGTAATACTTTTTTAAGAACATTTAACACAACTGGACACAAATCAATGAGATACCATATTCTTATAAATATAAATTATTAATACCAGCAAGTATTAGATGTAGGGAGCCTGATCTAAGCTAACATAGGGACTGGCCACAATCTAGTTTTGGAAAAAAGTCATCTTAATTCGATTAAGAATCATAAACACAAACTACCAACACTAGAAACTAAAATTAATAAAGACAATTTTGACAAAAAACTATATCAAAGTAGGCTAGATCAAATAATTTAACAACAAAGCGTTACATGCAATGAAGATAACTAAGTTAGTTGGGAAAAGAATTAAAACAACATAAAGCAAACAAGCCTCTAGGAGGAATAAAAATAAACACAAACTTAAATGAAAGAAAACGTACACTATAATGTTTACCCAAAGTATAGAAATATATCTGAAGGAAAAAAGAATGTTTATATAAAATATAGATCTGAAAGAACGCAGGGGACTTATGAATATAAGAGAGTTCGTAACACGGCACATGGGCTAATCAGGCCGAAGAAAACAATAAAACAGTAAAAGTTTATAAGAGGGACATATAATAGAAATTAAGGAATTAATATAAGATACCAACATAAATAAAAAAATGGACAACATAATATTAGACAAATAAACCGAACAAAGGAAACTGAACATGCTCTTGAAACTCCCAATATAACATCAAATGAGTTAACGCAAATGATAAAAACATGAGATAAAAGAAGTCATCATAAAGTTAAAAAACAGAAAAGAAATTAATAAAATATGGCTTATACAACAGTTAACCATAATATTTAATAAAGGGTTAAGGTCATCAACAATACATGAGGAGTGGAGAACGAGTATTATGTTTTTTCTTTTACAATAGGTGTAATGTGCGACCATAATACTCTAAAGGAATTGTTAAGTACTATTTTAAAATTAATATTAAAAATAATATCAAATAATTTGAAGAAAAGATTAGTATACCAGACTAACAAGTTTCTTGTGCAGAGAAGTATATAATAATATAATGAACTAGCCTAACTATGTTTCGTTAATTTAGAAATGTCCTACGACACAGTGAGACTATCGGATGCGATATACATCTGTACAACAGATAATCCAGATTACTTGATATCATAAAAATAATAAAGAACCGACATGTAAGAAACAGAACCGAAGTAAAAGTTCAAATAGAAAAAAAAAGAATCTATAAACACTACAACTGGAATCAAATATGGAAGTCCAGTTGTAATATTTATTCTTTTATATTTAATATAGCATTGAGAGGTTTTAAGCTAGTACGGCAGATGGACAAAACGCATTCTAGAGTGGAGACCCAGACAAGATGCCTTTAGGAATAGAGGACGACCACCAACAAGATGGACGGATGACCTGAAACAGACACATCAAAATTGGATGCAGGCGGCTCAGGACAGAAATTTGTGGGGTGAACTACGGAAGACCTATGTTCAGCAGTGGACGAGTATGGGCTGAATGATGATAAAGCTAGTAAAAATAAAAAAACAACCGGCAAGCAAGGAGATAAAGATAATTTGCGATGTTTATGACGAGTTTTTGATAACAGAGAACGAAGATGATCTCCAATAAATACTACACCAGTTTAATATCAAAGCCAAACGATTTAATATGAAAATTTTATTACTTATTATGAAAAGTTTAGTATTGTCAAAGGAACCAACAAGCTGAAAAAAGTTGTATGTCAAGACCAACAGCTGAAAAAAGTTCAGATTGAAAACCTACTGATAAAACAAGTATTAAAATTTAAATATATGGGAATAAACTTATCGACCAACAAAAATATTGAAGAGAAAGTAAGGGGATAAGTGCTACAATGACACAATACGGTGAAACAGACACTAGATCTAGACAAACAAGCATAAATAAACAAATCTGTAATCCGACCAGTCATGACATATACAGTAGGAACAAGATCAGATACAAGTATAGATATTTGAAGACAAATGAGATGAGAACACGAAGAAGAATAACCGGAAAAAGACTTATTAAACAGAACAAAAAGCAATGACATAAGAAACTATGCAGAATAAACAATATTATTTAATTGGTACAGGAAAGAAAAAGAAAATGAATCTGTTATATTAGCAGAATGGTAGAAAATATCATAGTTAGATTAGCCCTGGAAAGAAAGAGATAAAACGAAATTATCCACACGAATAGGAAGAAAACGGGCAATTTGCCTATATAAAAAAAGAGGAAGAAGACATTATAGTTAATTGAAAAGTTACATTAATATTACATTTTTAAGAGGATGCAATTATCTTTTTTGATGTGTGGAGTGTAATAATGTGGAATATAAACTTAAGTTTAAGTTTGTAGGGTCGCCATTCTTGTCCCCCGGTCACCATCTTTTAACTTTTTTCTGGTCATTTTACAATAAAATTACATTCAATCAATATTATAGGGGGTTTTTCAAAGAATAATTTTTACTACAAATTTGTTTAATTTCATTGATTTCTTTGGATTTTACAGAACTCCAATGTTCTTGAATACTCGTAAGAATACGATAAAAACGATTAGGCTTAGTTTTCTAGTATAAGTATTTATATTTTTTTATTTATACAATTTATTATTTTGTTAACATTGTTTTGTGATTATTCGTTTATTATCTACTTTTTCC